GGCAGGCGCCCCTGCGCGCGCGGCCGGGTCGCCACGGGGCTGTGAACGGAGGCGCAGCGGGTGCAGTTAGCAGGGTTTCGCTCCGGCAGCAAGAAGGTTCAGGGCGCTCCCGGTCCCCTTTCCTCTTGGAGGTCTGCGTGTCTAAAGTGGGCGCACACGAATGTGCCCCGCGCGCGCACGCGTGTGGACACGCGGCCCCGGAGCGCCCGGGCTCACCTTGGCCTTCGGGCCGGGGCTCGCCGCGGACGGGCCGCAGCTCCCGCCGCCTAATTAAAGGGGTGGAGCCCTGGGCCTCCCGAGCTTCCTCCCTTAACCCAGTGAAGGAAGTTTCGGTGGCCTTAAGTCACCTCGCCTCTCAAATCCCTTTTCCTTGCCAACTGCCCCGCACTCCCAACCGTTTTCAAAATTTACTTTTATCCTTTTGTGAGAAAATGAACGTGAAAAGAGGCAGTCTTAGTAGCTGCAGGCCCTTGCACGGAGCTGTAATTTAAAACTGTCAACAAGCTAATCTGCAGTAATTGCCTTTTAAAGGGAGCCTGCCTCTTTAAACCATTCATTCTAAGTGATTTGGTGAGAATTTCATCTTCGGGCCTGTGGCTGTAACACTAAATTGACCCCATAAGGTGTTGACCTGACCCTAGGGGGTCCTGGAAGGTGTGGGATTTGTACCCTACAGATCAGAGAGCCTTTCCCCGGGAAGGAGGGTGGAAACAGCAAGGTGGGCCTGGGGGGGGGGGCGCCCCGGGGAGAGGAGACAGACGCTGTTTCCAGCCCTGCCTTCCGGTCATGAAGGGATCTGCCCCGAGCGCTTTCAGAGGATCAGTTCCCACTAAACCCTGGCCGGGAAGCTGCGGCTCACCCCCCTGCCTGCTGGCAGCCCTGAGTCCTGCCTGAGGGGGGGATTTGTGACTTGCTTGCGTGGGGGCAGGGAGGGGGGCAGAGCTAGAGGGGGGCAGCTTCTGTTCAGTGCTACCTGTGGTCTGCTTGTGGGGAAACACGTTGGAGGCAGGAGCCTTGGGACCGAGTCAGGAGACAGACACTTCCCAGCTGGCCTTATCTGGATCCCCCGCTGCTCAGCAGAGTTTCAGTTTTCCTTTGCTT